CTCCACCCTTGCAGTTTAAGGGGATGAGCTAGGACATGATAACAGGTGCGGCACGCTTTCAATGTGTTTCAGGTTGGTGACTTGTCATTTTGCTACAGGCGTTTCCTTTTTTTGTTCATCTAGCACTGACCATCTTCCTTGTCACACCATTGTTGGTTTTGCGGGTCCGGGTCTACCTTCCTTGAAAGTTGCCCCATTCAATCTGTCGAAACTTGAACCGTGATGGCAGCTGGCCATTCGGTTCGAACTCTTTGTATCAGCAGCCGCAGCATCCCTCCAAACAGGCTTGGTATGGTCAGATGTCGAACAAGGCTCCTCAGAAACTGAGCACGAACAGGGACAAGAAGGCTACAGGCTTCGTCTATCTTCACCTCTAAGATCATCTCAGTGTTTTGATCTTTTGATGAATCACGCACCAGCAATTCCAAAGGCTTGCCGTTCGATTGGAGGAAGTCGGGGTGCGTCTGAAGCACTGAAAACCAACCCAACTCCATGTAAGTCCTGGTAACCCTGGTCTTTCTTTGTATTCCTTGTTCACCTTCCCTCATTGGATGCTGCGGTGCTGTCTGTGTTTCTTCGGGATGAGAAAGCTCGGCTCGAGCCCTTCCCCCAACAGACCGAAGCCAAGTCGCGCCAAGCTGTTCTGGCTTTGGGCACTATACATGCCACATACCTTTCCCCATAGATCATCATAGATCCACATACACTCTCAGAGAGTGATTCGAGACACTTCTATGTATAGGCGCTATAGGAGGGTCCAAACACCTTCTAAGGAGGTACTTTGGATCCCTAGGGCTTACTCTTTAAAAGCTGTTTAGGATTGTTTGGGACTGTTTCAGGAAGCTCCAACGACCGAACTATATGTAACATGCCATCCGGACAGGATGGTCCTGGTATATCCTGGTATAACATGTGAGGGGGCCTTTGCTTGACATTGTTTGGTCATGTTTGGTCATCATTTAGCTTCAGTTTTGCGTGGTCAACTAGCGCGCGGTGCCATGAGAAACAGCCACGCTATGCTCAGCGTGACTCGCTCAAATCACGTTTTCACTGCTTCGTTCGTGTACGTACTTTGGCGAGGACGCTTGGCTTCTTCGCATTGCGATGGTTTCAACGCTCGGAGTCACACCGCTCTCTCTTTTCACCCCTTCGGCGGGGAAAATTCGACGAAGCGCGAGCAAGGTAGCTCGGAATGTGGCACAAAATGGGTTGCAACCGCTTGGCTGGGGTTTCGACACACCTGCGGAGTTTTCATTGATGTTGTTTGGTTCCTTTCTCACAGCTTTCAAATTGATTTTCGGACTGCGGAATCTAGGGGAGCACAGTTACACCACAGAAACGACAACGTGAGAAGTTCCAACGTGAGAAAACGTCAACAAGAGAGACAGTTCGGAACCACTCCGAGAAGTTCCACACAGAAGCGACACAGTTGGCCCTTGCGAACATCACCCAGGAGTTCCAGGCCGGGGTAGTTTTTAGTCCTCAGTGAGTGGACAATGGGCACCTCTATCCTCCAAGAACGACACTCCCTTGGAACTCCTGGACATTTGATGCGATTGATGGAGGTCTTGGATGGAGAGAACGCAGTTTGTTATGAGAGTGAAGGCTTGATGGTGACGAACGGTTCAGTCATGTTCAGAACAAAACATGCATACAACAACTGTCATCCACTGTCATCCAGCTGTAGGTTGGTCCCTTTGAACATAATCATGCCCAGAAAACACCAGACTCCAACATTTTACAACTATACAAAACAAACTAGTTGTGACTTGGATGCCGAAAGGGAAGAGGAGCTGGGACTTTGCAAAGTTCACTATCGCACTGTGTCCTCAAATTGAATGCCTCGCGCCGGTTTGAGGAGGGAATCACCGCCTATGCCGCACCTTTCCCAAGACTGGCCGGACTTATGATGTATTTATTCTCGGCAGGAAAAGGCGTGAAGCAAGGAGTTTGTCGAGGTTGGGTGGCCCCAAATTGCACGAACGCCCGATCTTGAAGGTATGCACTTCATCAAACCTAAAGTATATCCACAACACAGGATCTCTTCTCAAATGGTGTATGCTTGTATATAGAACTTGTTCTTCTTAGAGAACAGGGTCATTGTTTCAATAAGTATTTCACGGCAGTCCCTTTGTTAGTTCTAAAAGGGACGGGATATCATGTAATATTAATATATAATAGACTATAATATGATAGTATACATATATTATAGCTCGCACATATATATATATATATATGATACCCCCCTAAGATCAGTGGTTGCTTCTGGTTACATGCATGTATATGCACATCAGTATTCACATATATATATATACACACATGTACATACACATATATATGTATATATATATATAATATATATGTACATTAGGTCGACATTTAGTTGCGGTGTAGTTTTGTCTCTCAGTGGCTTCTTGTAACTTCATTCGGGTAATCTTCCACACACTTATTTGGAGCGCACTCTTCCCGTTACTCTGTGCAATGAGAAAGGGCGCTGCTGAAAAAGATTGGTCCGTTCCTTGACAATGCAGTAGGCAGACTGCAATATAATACAGTTCAACCCGGTTCAATTTGACTAGTGCCAGCCTCGTTCTGCCAGGAATGACCTGGGACCCCTACATGCAACGTGAAGCGCCCGAGTGCCCTGTTGCGGCTCTGTCGAGCGTTTTCAGACATAGTGGGGGGAGGAGTCACCCGGGGGTCTAAACTTCAAAGATCATGCGATGGGACTCCGAGTATACGTGTTTATTGCCTTCGGAGATCCCAACGCCCTTTTCTTGGGGTGTGGTCGTTGAATTCCGCATTCGCTCAGCGGCGAAGGTTTGGTCCGGGCATGAAATTCCAGCGGACATGTAATTGCAACCTTCCCAGATCGTGCCCAGTGCATCCTTCTCCTTTCAGAAACGTGCAACCCCACTGGGTCGTGCGATTCATCATCTCCGATCGCCGATCGAATTTCAGAGGGAACGACGCTGATGAAGGAAGATGAAGGTGGTTCTTTAGCCTGAGTTGTATCAATTTGTGTCAAATGTGGCCCAAATCACCACTGAGCTTTTTCCCTCAACATCCTCAAGATGGTTTTGGGTCACCGTAGGATCTTGGCTTGATAGATAGCCCGGAGAGCCAGTATAGTAATTTGTTTTCTTGAAATGCAGGCCTTGAAGAGCATCGCAACGCCTGTCCCCGTTAAGGGACAAGTGGGTCCTCTCTTCATCACCCTCCTTGGAGCATTTTGCTGGTATAGTAGATAATGTATATTTTGGGAGGACAACAGTTTAGTACTTGTATATTATGCTGCTTATCCTTATTGTCACGAATTGTCACGATCATACTTTAAACACAGGAATGCACAGACATCCTTTCTGATTCCTCTCCTCTTCCTCCCTTCTAATCCTTTGGATATCTTCCGGATCCTCCTGCCCACCCTCACGACCACCTTCCGTTGTCAAGACTTTCCTCGCAGCCCATCAGGTCTCCATCAGCCTGCTCAGCTGCTCCAGGCTGCCTGATTTCTCGGACATCTCTGGGTGTTTGGGAGAAGGGTCACATCTCAGTCACTCACTCACACGGAGGCAGGACATGGCAGGATTTCTGTTTCTGTTGCGGTGCCACAGTTCGAGTCGGTTAGAGCATCGACCGTGGTTTTGATGTAGGTGATCCAACCTTTGACACATCCAAACAGGAGGACGATGGGTTGGCCCAAATTCGGTGCCTGATTTTTGAGAGATCCACATACGATCACATCAGTTTGAAAAAGACCCAGAAAAGTCGATGGCACGACTGGTGAATTGCATTGGTCTTGCACTTCCTGACTGGGGGACAGTCAGGACGGTCGGGGTCTCCGGACGAAAAAGACGGTCTCTCCAACGTCGCAAGCGGAACGTTGGACCGTTCGGTGGATGGTTTTGGGCCAAAGACCGTGGGTGGCTGCCAGGGATGGTGACCCCTCCGAACCGTTGTAGCAGAGGGTCACAAGTCAGCGCTCAACGGTGTCCAAGCCACGTGACCGACCCAGGGAGCGGTTTTGAAGGAGACCCGACCACAGGTTTCTGGACACCGGACTTGTCACGAAACACGAGGGTGCTGGTGGGTATACGAAACTTCAAAACAGAGAGGCGTGTCTTCTTCAATAATTGGTACATTTGTGGGCAGGACCTGGCTCCCTCCCTCCCTCCCTCCCTCCCTCCCTGAGCTTCTTTAATACTGCATTTAAGTGGTACAACTGTTCGTAAGGGGGACCTGGCTCTCTCTCTCTCTCTCCCTCCCTGAGCTTCTTTAATACTGTATTTAAGTGGTACAACTGTTCGTAAGGGGGACCTGGCTGGCTCTCTCTCTCTCTCCCTCTCCCTCCCTCCCTCCCTCCCTCCCTCCCTCCCCTCAGTCAAAACTGGAGACATATAAGACACGGTCACACGGTCACACAAGTTCATTGTTTTGACGTCTTTTGACCTTGCTTGGACGCCGGTGGATTTGGAGCAAACAATGCTGCTACATTTGCCTTGGTGCAACTCGCAGACTACAAGCCTAAGCAGAAAGGACTGCGATTTCGACTGCTCGTCTTATGCCATTTGGCGATTTCGATCGATCGCTGGGCCGATGCCCAATCGAACAGAGAAGTCTGACGGCAGGTCCGAGAGCGATCGCCGTGGACACAAACAGACAGATGGACAGTCCGTGACTCTGGTTTCCGAACCGCAGCCAGACTCGAGTCTGGAGGTTTTAACGGAAGTTTACGATCCACATGATGGTCGTAAGACTCGGTTTGTTGCCCGGTCGGCCAACGGTTGAGAGGCGAAGGCCGCAAGAAGAAGCATGGTCAGGGTCTCGGAAGACGGATTTCCGCGGGGGTGACGTGTGACGTGTGCTCTATGGGAGAGGAGGCCAAAAGCATGATCTTATTGTTCCTGAAAGGTCTTGTGTTGTCTTGTCGGATTGTTTTGTCATACTGATGCGGCAACTGCGGCGACGGATGTTTGTGTTTGCCTTTGAAGAGGCCATGCACTGGAGATCGCCTCTCCCGGTCTGACATATCAGAACATGTTATAATTATCCCACAGATCTATAGGCAGTAGCAAGAAGCTAGTAGGTGCCAGTGGACTCACGTGCCGGGGGTGCGTTTTTGAGTCCGTGGATGCGATGTGAGTCCGGGCACCGTTCGAAGGAAACCTTTGTGAGTCCGGGCACCGTTCCGGACCTTCCTTTAACGACTTGGCTGCCAAAGAGATCGATGAACGACTTATCTGGGCTTATCTCGGCTTACTCCACTTCTGGGGCCCTTGAGTTGATCTTCGATTCCCCAGCCCCGCGCATGGCTTCCAAGCAACTTGAGTCACTTGTAGGAGAATATTGGGGCAGGTCGGAGTGCACAGCACTCTAAAAGCTTTTCTTTTGGATCTACAGTACTCATGCAATGGATTCCCCTAGTAGTCAAAATTAGTCAAAAATACTATATGAAGAACCATGGACCACCGGTAGATGCCACCAGTTGCATGCATTTTCTTGAGAAAAGACAGGAGTCTTTACAACATCTCTGTGACTGTGTCAAGAAGCAGTACCTTCGAGGATGTTGGAGATCTTCTTAACTCTTTTCCTGGCACTTGCCACTGTTCAATTGGCACCTCTGGTTGCTCACAACACCTGTTGTCTCAGGTGGAGAGAAGAAGAAGCGCAAGGACAAAGACGGAGGAAGAAAAAAGTGCAGCTGCTTCGCTCTGCTTCGTACCTGCGAAACGGCGCCACCCACCGCCCCACCCACGTCAGTGGCCGCCCGACGGGCCAGAAACGACGGTACCAACCATCGACAGCGGTTCCACGGTTGTGACGAGTGGTGTGACGGGTGGTGTTGGACACCTGGCCCACTCACGTTGGCGCACGTTTTGGGGCCCTAGCCGCAAGGGCGAGCCGCAAGGACCTCGGTCCTTCGGTCCGAAGGACATCCGAAGTACGAAGTAATGACTCTCGCGTCTCTCGGTGGATGTTGGACTACACTGAAACAAAATTGACGCACAGATGCTAGCACTGCAGGGAAACGCATAAATGTACAAGAATTTCAGGGAACAATCCCACATGATTTGACAAAGCATATCACCTTGATTCACCTTGATTCCAACAAACAGAAAGGATGAGGAATGGAAGGAGAGTCCGGAAGGAGGTAAAGCATGGTAAAGCTAGATGTTGTGGGGAAGCACATGTAAACAACAACAGCTTTCAGAGCATCACTAGCATTTTATGGTCAACTTATGGTCATATCAAGCAGAAAGACGACAAAACAAAGCACACAACGATAGAAGCACCCGTCATCCACCGATCTCCACTGATCCACCCCACCGCAGTCATCGGACAGACTTCGCTCTTCGCTCTTCGCCCCGCCGCGACGGGAGAACGGCCGTCCCTTCGACTCGCCGGCGACGGTCGAACGGCCGATCTGCATCCCATCCGTTGTTCTGCGAGCAGCGACTCGAGCGTTTGCGGAACTGGCGGGAACTGGCAGCTTTTTTCTTGATCGTTTGCGGTGGCGCATGCGAGCAGAAACCCAAAAGTCAACTCGGGTGTTGGGTTTTGTGATGTTTTGATATGTTTTGTGCATCTAACTGTTGAGTCAAACTCAGACGTCAGACGTCTTGGACGTCTTGGAGTCTTCTGAATGTTGTTCCCTGAATGGGTGCAAGCCTGGCTCGCTCAGCCTGGCTGGCGTCCCATACTCTGGTGATCGTGAGATTGGACATGTTGGGACCGATGTGGCCGGGTGAAGCAAAGGCGTGCGAACGGTTCTTCCTGCCCGTGGCAAGGGGTTGGAGACTCTTCGAGTGAGGAACGAACAGGCTGAAAGGAAGCGTCACAATGACTTCAATCAAACTTGTGCCTAAAGCAAAGCGCCATTGAATCACTCCATAGTATTCTAGATCTTTGCAATTTGTTGATGTTTTTTGGCTTGGCTGCATTGTTGTTCCTTCCCGGCAGCTTCCTCTTGGGGCCTTGTTCGGTCGGCATCCCCTCGCGACGGTGCGGCATCTGAAGCCCAGCATCTTTCACAGGAACGCCTTTGCAAATGAGCGGGTTTCATCACTGTTGCGCTGGGCTGTCCATTCAGAATTGCTTTGCTGATTACGGAGCAGTTCTCTCATGTTTCTTGAGCCTTTGGGGGCTCCAGGCTCCATGCGATGAGTCTGGTGCAGGCTCACCTCCACCCCAACCCCAGTCTGTGCTCTCCCAGCTGTGCTGGGCGCAGCTGCGCGGGCGCAGCAGCTGCGTGTGCGTTCGTCTCGATTCATCACGTGCTGCAGCTCCGAGCTTCAGGTCCAAGGTCCAATTTCTTTGACTCCGTGTGAGCCTGTGTTGCGAGTGCGCCGTAGCACCCTACAGAGCCCTAAACAACAGCGGTCCGTCGCAAGACAGCCACTCACACTATGGCCGCACTCAATGCACAGAGGTGAGTCCGTTACTGTTTGTTTGGTGGCAAGTGAAGTCCGTACCACGAACAGTACAAGCTCCACGCATTACATTTCCTGTAGTTATGGCTTGCCCTGCAATGACCGACTTCAGTGCGCACCTACAGTTTATTGAACTTAGTTGGCTGCATAGTGGTGGTGGTTGCAATGTTTGCATGATTGATTGAAGATTGATGCCAATATTTACCACATATTACTGCCAAGAATTGCCAATGTGTTTCTTCTTCGAGCTGTAGAATCATCTTGGCCTCCAGTGAGAAAGATAAGAAAGCAGATTGAATTCATTGTGGTGCGTCAGTCCGTTTGTGCGTGTATTCATTCAATTTGCATTTTTTTTCTTTATATGTGGGAGTTATCCAAAAGGTCCTTGTAAGGGTTTTTAATGTCAAGAGCCTTGGATGACATGATCGTGGGTCTCGCGAAAGTTTTTTTTCGAGTTCGCGAATGTTAATGTTTTTTTCGCGAAAGATTCGCGAAAGTATGAATTTTTATTGTATGTTCTTTGGCGAGCCTTCAGGCTTGCCCCATGCATAACCACATCCTTTTCTGACCGTCAGCAGCTTCAACTTTGGAATCCGTGTGAAGCTTCCTTCCTGTTTCATGTAGTCCACCCTATGTTATGTATGCCGTAAAAACCTCCAAAGCACAGGGATTATTTCGCGAAAGTTTCGCGAAAGTCTGGCGAAGGTTTCGGCGAATGAATCGGCTCCAGAGGAACCCCGTAGCCCATAGCAACCCCACAAACTGTATTTAGAAATCGAGTCCCTACCAGGTTGAATGGTTTCATGACATGGTGAACCCCCGCGAAAGAAAAACACAGGGTTCGCGAAAGTTTCGCGAATGTTAATGTTTTTTTCGCGAAGAATGGCCGTTTCAATAAACAAGAATATTGGACAACCACCATGTATCCAATATAAATCCGATTTGCATGTGTAGTTTTTTCCCTTGGAATAACCGTTTCATGATGGTGTCACGCGTTGCTGCTAACGACGCGACGTTGAGGAGTCGAGGAGCCCATTGATGTTGGATAAATTAGGCCGTTCAGGACGCACAAAACAGGAACTGTGCGGGAGGACCTTGGGGCCGATGCTTTGGCGTACTTCATTTCATTCTATGGTTGTTCAAAATACCAAATAGCATGGCTGGCGATAGGATGATTATGCCTTTAGCATTTCGACTGTGCGCATGACGAGCTTTGACACACGAAGGCAATTTATAATACATAAATATGCTATTTTTTAAAAGTATATTACGGATTGCTTTGTTCTTCCGACTGTAGCCACACTATTGTTTTTAGGATCCCGTTCACAGACGGCCCGCGCTTGGACAAATAGTGGGTCACACAAGAAGTTCCCTCAGACTGGCATATTTTTTGGCCTTCTATCTTGCATATTTTTCTGGCATTCATTCTCGCATATCTTTTGGCATTTTTTCTGGCATTCTATTTGGCATGTCTTGTGCCATACCTTTTGACATTTCGTTTGGCATATCCTCTGCCTATCTTCTAAATTTTCTCTGGCATTTCGTTTGGCGTTTTATCAGCAATATATCTTTTTTTTTTTCCTCGCGGTTGAGCTCCGGCGGGGAACGCAGCCAGCCGAAATTCACGGTTGAGGTCTGCTGGGGAACACTGCCAGCTGAAGTTCGTGGTTGAGGTCCGGCGGAGAACACTGTCCGCCGACGCTTGCGGTTAAGGTTTGGCGGGGAACACTGCCCGCCGAAGCACGCGTTTGAGGTCCGGCCACGCCGCGTTTTGAGCAAAAACTTTCAAAATTTTTGCCATTGCAGACTGCTGCCCTGCCAGTGAGCAGGTGGACGACGCGTAAGTCCCATGTGACTTCATTATGTTCCGATCTGTGGCAAACGCTGCGACATGGATCATGATGTCGTGATTCCTGCATGCCGCTGCTGGTGTGATATTGTGGTTCGAAGATTAGAAAAGAAGTTGGGCATATTAAAGGCTATCACAAATATACCGTAGATGTGCGTGCCAGCAAAGAAGCATCAAATCATCATTTTTTGAAGCTATGTGCCTGGTGCACTGTCTCTTCCATGTGCAAAACACACAATAGTCTCCGGAGCAGCGCCGCAATGTCATAACATGCCATTCCCACATGCAACAACACAATCTGGCAACGGATGCCTTGATGCATACCATGCTGCCGCCCTGATGAGCGTGTTTGCCTGAAGAATCCGGAAAGCCAAATGACATGGGTGTGGTGCAAGGCTGCATGCATTTCCAAACCTGGAGGCTATATGAAGGTTATATTATCACTGCGCCTAGTTGACCTAAGGCAGTGCGAGAACGAAATTCTCAAGTGAACGGAGCTTCCAACTACAAGCGGGCGGCTGCTCGGCCACGCTTTTGATTTGATGGCGTGGAGGGTGCACGGGAAAGATTGGGTAACTTCAGTTGCTGAAGCACCTACTATGTTGGTATCATGTTGGTTTTAATCCAAGTTTTGCTGTTCGTGGTTCGTTATGGTGCGTGAACTTGCGCGAACCAACTATGTCAAAAGGCGGTCGTCGAACGTCAAACTGGGCATGCTATGTGGGTTTCAAGACTGTTTTGGCTAAAAATTCGTTGCGTTTTCCTGGTGCTCCTGAAGTGGTCACATGAATGAACCTTGACGGGTGTATGCGGCATGAAGTGCTGTTGTGAGGCACCTCATGTGCGTTTTTTGCTGTCAGTTTCTTGTGCACTTTTGTGCACTTTCATGAACTTACCGTTGCCGATTTCAGATTCGCAGCACTTGCAGGCTCCCATTTTCCACCGTGAGGCCGGCGGATCACAATCATAGTGTCCACCCAGCATTGATCCAATACGATCCTGAAGAAAAGATATGACAAGGATGTGGCTGGCACATGCTGGTTCCAAATGCCAAATTTGAACGGTAACCATGCGCACCGGCGAACCACTGTGGCCAAACTACCGCTTTCTCGGTGCCAGGATCATCGTATCCACCTCTTGATCTTAGCCCTTGCCTCAAAAGGTTGTGTTGGCACCTGTTGCAAAGTGTCTTGTGCCAGTTTCTAGTGCCCACCTTCATGTTGTGGTGCCGATGAGGCCTTGGATTACGCCAACAGCTCACAACGTTTGCCCAGCGTCAGCGATGCCAAACACATCGAGGATTTGGCCGGCTGCTGAGGTTTCGACGAAGCAATATACATTTGAACACACATGTCACATATGAGTTCGCATATGTACGTACGTAGGCACGTACGTATTTCATTTTATGTATGCAATGTAGAAGATCCATGAGTGGGTAAGTAAATATGTAATGTAATGTAGATAAGGAAGGTTAAGTAAACATGTATGTATGTATGTGTGTATGTATGTATGTATGTCTGTAAGTATTTATGTAAGTAAGTAAGTAAGTCAATATGTATGTATGTATGTATGTATGTATGTAGCGAAGTTTGCGCTCCTTGCAATCTGCAAAATGAGGTTCGGTATCATGTACATTCCTATGTGCACATCATGGGCACAAGACTGTGCGTCTAGATGCTGCAATTTCCTGACGTGCCGCCTTCTTGCTCCTGATGTTTCTTGCGCGGAGCACACTGGGTTAGACTTCGTCCACCCTGGAACCACTTGCATTTTCGGTGTCTGTGGTATACATTGCCACAGGGGTGCTCTGTGAGCATCGCGTTTTGCGATCTGATCCATGTTTGTTCGTGTTCGCTGACTGCCGATGACACCACCGCGCTCTGCTGGTGCTGCGTCTTCAGCTGACTTTCACAGGTTTGAAGTGCCTGAGTCAAAACTTGAATCTGCTCATGTCTGTAGTCAATTATGCTGTGCAGTTCATCAATTCGCTCCTAGAGTTTGTAGACGATATGTGGGTCGTCCTGCTCCTGTGTCTGGCAGATATTGTTCTCACTGTTTTCGCCTTTGTTCGACATGCCCATAGCCACGCTCAAGGCTCCAACCACGTTAGTTGAGGATCCGCACGCATACTCAAAGCAGAGAAGCATCACTAGCGCTGTTTTCATCTCGCCCTTGGTGCTGTTCGCCACTCCATTCTCCTTCTTTAGCATCTGCATCCTCAGCTCTGTGTGCTTGTTTGTGCTCGTCCTCGACCTTTTGTTCTTGTGTTTGCTGGGTTCAGCATCGTAGGGATCGCCGTGATCTTAATGCTGCTGTTTTGGACCTTGTCTTGAATCCACATTATGCCTGAGTTTATGTGTCTCACCCTGCCGACTCCTTGTCTGGAGGTCATCGACCTTGCTGCTGACGAGCCACTGTCTGTTGCACAAGGATTTGCCTTGTGGTGTTTTTCCAAATCACGAAAGCTAGCGAAGCTAGCTGGAGTTACTCTTGCGATAGCAAGGTTTCTTTCGACCGGGTGCAAATCCTAACCCCTGATTTTTCAGGTCGAAGACCCCCCCCCCCCCTCCCCTCTCCCCACCTCCCCTCTCCCCACCTCCCCTCCTCTCCTCCTCCTTGTCTTCCTCCCATCTTCCCTCCCTCCCTCCTCCCTCTTCGCAAGTTCGACTCCGTCCTGTCGTCGCTCTTTGGCATGCGGTTAGCGTTGCGTATCTTGCGGCCGCACTCGCTCACTCTCACTGTCTCACTGTCTCACTGTCTCTCTCATCTCTCTCATCTCTCTCATCTCTTTCTCATCTCTCTCATCTCTCTCTCCTCTCTCTCTCTCTCTCTCTCTCTCTCTCCTCTCTGTCTCTCGTGTTTCCGTCTCTCTTCTCTCTCTTCTCTCGCAGGAGGATCCGGGCAAAGAGCCACATATAAAGGACTCTTCATACCTCGCTGCCCTCCGCTTTCCCATTCTGGAGCGCTAGCTTTCGCCCCCCCCTTGGCCTCAAGTCCACACATCTCTGTCAACTCTTTTATGTGTCGCGGGTCAGGTCTCACAATGCTTCCATCATGTGTAATGCTGTTTATTCGTTTCACGTGCATGATTTCATCATCGATGATTTTGAATGGTCCTTCAATGTCCATTTTCCAACCATCGTCCACATGGACACTAATCAGCAGATCTTTCAACTTGAGCTACGTTGTGGCATCACACCTGCAACTCTGATTTTGCATTGAAAAGTTCAAACCATTGTTTTGCTTCCGTTCGTTGTCCAGGTAGGCATCTGTCCAACCTGTATTTTCTTGTCTCTGTACTTGATTGCGCTCTTCTCTCCTGTTGGCAGCTTCGGCATCAAAGATCTGCCATGATCAATTGCCATGTGCCCTGCATTTGCAACAGGATGTATGCAAAGAGTCGCGGCACACCTGATGCTGAGGTCTGTCCCTCGTTGGAATTGCCGTGCTACCAACCTTGCTCTGCGCAATGATGTCCAGCTTGGCTAGCTCTTCAGGTGGCAACTCTGGCGGGTGCTCACCCTCACCTACATATCCTTCATTTTTCATTTCATCTTGCAGTTCCTTTTCAAAGAGCTCTTCTTCTCCCCAGATGTCCGTGACCATGATGTCTGGGTTTTCGCCCGCATACTCCCTTTTCATACGCTTGGTGGGAACGTAAGTCGGCACTCCAAACTGCACAGGAGCACTTTCAACCCGGAGAGTTTCTCTCCGCCTTCCTGGATGATGTGTACGCCCTGGTCCCACCGGCTCGGGCCCGCCCCGTGTTTGACCTTCTCGAACGAGAACTCCGAGCGCAAGCCCACCTCCAGCTCCACCAAGGCAAAGCCAGAGTGTGGAATGCATCAGGCACCCGCCCACCAAACATAGACAGTTTAGGGCCGGATGTGTGTGGGTTGGAGCCCAGTCCCTGCCACCTGGGAACGCCCGCGTTCACCAGCCAGCACCTCGACACAGTTTTAGCATCCCCGTTTGTTAGTGCGCTATTTTTTTCCTGAGGCAGGAGGTCGTGTTATATAAATTTTGATCTGTCCGGTTGGCTCCAACAATTATCTCAATCCACAGGATTTCATAAAGAGTGAAGCCACAGCAAATTATAAAGACTTAAGTCTTTCTCACAGCTCTTTCACTTACAGGATTTCATGGCTATATATATGTATATATCATATATAGCTGACCTTAGAGCTGTCCTACGTGAAACCATTTTCGCACAATGTTGGCGACCGTCAACACCAAAGTTTTAGGAAAGGGCTTGTTTGCGGCCACAGACATCCCAACAGGGACTGTGATTCATGTAGAGCAGTCTTTGCTCTCTTTGCTCAACCACACGTGCTGTGGCCCGAATCCGTGGAAGGAAGCTATCCTGCAGCACTTGGGATATACAAAATCCTGCAAGTAGTGAGAAGTGGTCCAAAGTTTCTTCTCTGAGCAACTCCAAGCCACTTCGTTTTTCGTTCACAGATTTCCGAGTCTTTACTGGACAAGGCCCAATTTGCCCGGTTGAAGCAGCTTACCTCTCGGTGGCACAACTGAGAAAATGCCTGTCTCGCAGACATTCGATCGGACTAGACCGCTGTGCGCCTCGTGCACCACCTGGCTCGTCCAGAACTCGTCCAGAGATGGATTCAGGATCCACCAATCGCTGTGTGGCTGTGTGAGCTATTGTCAGCATTGTTTTCTGCTTCTGAAGCCTCCCATCATCCACTTGACAGGTGGTGTAGGATATCGGTGCTGCTGATGCAGGTCTATCTAGGTCGTTGTGACGTGGGTCCGCTCGTGGGAAAAAAAAACATACACAATTCATGTTGACTGTGCAATCTTTGGCTGACCCACCAAGTCTCGCGCCCCTGGCCGCGGGAAAGCGAGACCACCTCTGGAAAAGATACGTCTGTGGGCTTGGCTCAAAACAAGCAGCACAAGAGACCAAGTGGAATCAGTTGATTGTTTCCTCAAACAGCTTAGCTGTAAGCGGTTCTCAATTCTTGTATAGAAACGATCCTGGGTCAAGATGATTTCTGGCTCTTTGTTTTCTGTTGTCTCCCTTTGTCTCCCATCGTGTTCAAGCCAAGTCTTAATTTGTTTGATCTGGGAATGACCCTGCTTGACCGGTATGTTTTGGATCATACGGATTGGGCACTGCAAGCCACTTTGACAAAAAGACACATCAAACTGCCGCAGCCTGGAGTTGATGCTGGTGTATTTGTTCAATCCTGGATCTGAAGAACGATTGGTTGTCCAAAGGCCCCACAAAGGGCAAATGCAGCCTTCTTGTGATCAAACCCACAGGTGACAACCGAAGATTAGTCTATACTTGAGACTTAAGCAGCAGCTTTGGAGCCACCGACATGTGTATCTCAACAAACCGCTTGCGGTTTGGCCACTGATTGTGGTCGCATGACATCGTTTCGGGCTGTCTCTCGTCGCTTGTACCGGGGAGGAGGCCAGCCATGTCCTTCCGAGAGCAGAAAAACAGTTTGAGTGGCCTTTGCTCCTAGTAGTACGGCCCCTAGTAGCTTCTTGCTCCTAGTAGCGATGCCAGGAGCCCCTAGCGTCCTTGGTTCCTACTGCCCGAGTGTTCGATGGTGGCGTGCATGCGCCGGGAATTTATAAGTATAGAGTGCTGCCATTGCCGGGGAACCCCGAGGAATTCTTTGCCTTTCACGCTGCCACAAGCATGCTTCAGCCACAGGATTATATAAAGAATCAGCGTATCTTGATGAACCTAGGACCACCCATTTTATAACTCGCCAGGTGTTGATTTTACTGGGGATCCGGGATTTCTTATAAAGTTTAGGGTTCCAGGGTCAACCGTCCAACCAACGGGGATTTTTAGCCAACCACCATGATCTGCTCACCCGGCTAACCGGCCTCATCCGGCCTCCAAGATCTCCAAACCTCCTGGTTCCTTGTACTCTTTTGCGCGAGTCCCCGCTCCACATACTTGCTGCGCATGTTGCCCCCCGAAGCGACACAGAGCTTCGCCCACGGCCACGACGCGGCAGTGGCCGCTTGCCTCACCGAATTGCTCCAAACCTCAGCGCTCCCAGCTACCAGTCTTGCGATTGCCCACTTGGCTTTGAGTGATGGAGGCCTAGGCTTGACAGCCGCTTCGGTCACAGCTGTGCCGGCATATTGGGGGTCGTGGGCCGACACGTTGCCAATCCTTAGCTGCCAAGCCCCGGCCATGGCTCCAGCACTTCTGCGCCAGCTCCAACACCCAGACGTGGCCCTGCCGGCCAAGCAGCCAACGCAGCAGCAGCCAGCCTCCGAGCCCATGGCTGGGAACCGCCAGCATGGGATCACCA